TTCACAGCTTTTTGAGGTCAACAATATACGTTCTTGGCTAATGTTGATCCACTTCCAAAGGACTTATGTCGCTAAACCCTCGGATTTATTCGAAAGGGGTGCAACAACTGAATTTAATGACATTGCAACGAAAGTTATCCATTACATGCTGTTGGCACGCCTCCACAACTTTCTGATCAAATTGTATCCCAATCAACGTAATGCTCGGCTTCGGGGCGCTTAGGGCCTCTTCCATAACTTACAACATTTTCATCTAACGTTTAGTAAGAAGAATTAAGCAGCACCCATCTTAAAGACGTTATAAGTATCAGCAGGTACCGATTAATGTGTATTTATCATCTTTCAGCGAGATTAAACAAGGGTTTCAGTTCCGAAATGGGTGGTTTAGAAATTTTCCATAATGAGAAATGGTCAGGTGTTTGCGATAGTGGTCTGGACAATAACGCAGCTAAGGTGGCATGTTTAAGTCTTGGGAAGAACTTTACCGATGGTCGTGTTGTAAAAGGATCTGCATTTGGTGACCTTAAGACTGGGAACATCAGTATCAAACAGATCACCTGTACTGGTACAGAGGATGATCTATCTGATTGTACCATAGTCTCAGGTAGTTGTGATAGCGGTAAAGATTATTATGCTGGTGTTGTGTGTTCAGAGTCGAAATTCAACAGTACAGGTAGGCATATTGCCATTATATATAAAAGCAATGCGATTTATCAACCTAATTTTCCTTTTGCATTTATCCATGTTTCGTCAATGAAGTATTGTGGTCATTTTTAGTGCACTGTAATTAATTGTAAAGTCCATGTATTAGGAATTTGGCATATTATCGAAGCGTTGTCTTACTGGTGGCAAAGTATACCTGCAGACCTGGATCAGATTATCTTACAGGGAGCATTTAATGTTATATTTTATGTAAGTTGACTACAGCACTCTCTATCCACAGGCTTCCAGGTTCGTCTTGCTGCCGATGGTCTCAGTCAAGAATACCATGGTATAATAGAAGTGAGCAAGAATGATATTTGGGGACGAATCTGTATGCAGGGATGGGGTGATGCTGATGCAAATACTGCATGTAAATCTTTGGGCTTTGCTGGTGGTGTGTCTTATCTACACATTGTTAAAAACACCAAGCCTATGCTGATCAGAAATGTGACCTGTACCAGCAGAGAGACATCCTTTTCGAACTGTTATTATGATGCGTCTCCAGATCTGGAGAACTGTGGCTTTGATTCCAATGATGGTGGAGCAATTTGTTATAATAACTCAGGTAATATCTTTAAGATGGCACCCTTTCGTTATGCAGGCAATATTCTGCAAAACAGTTGCTAGTTGCAGCTTTCCAATACTTTGAAAGGGTGGTTGAGACATTCCTTCTGAAGATACTGGAAAGGCTGATACCAGAAACAATGTTTTTCTACATTGCTGGGTTTTTATAAGTTTACCCTACTATAGCTATGGAACCAACAGATCCGTCTACTGAAGACGTCAAAATGTGTTTGTTTTCATTCAGAACGGATTCACAAAGTCTTAAATGTTTTCTCCATCATTTTTAGTAATTGTTTCAGTCCGTCGGAATTTTATGTCCAAAAAAATATTTTAATGATTTTCATGTGAGTAACTTTTTTTCTTTGTATGATTAGGTATAAACTATCGTTTGAATGGCGGAAATGATGCGCACACTGGAAGAGTTGAGGTACAATATGAAGGTTCATGGGGAAGTGTTTGTTCCTGGGCCTGGAACTCCAAGAATGCTAAGGTCTTCTGTAAGAGCATCGGATACACAGATGGTATTCCAAGATATGATGCAATTCCGTCTTTACCTGTTTTAAAACCTTACCTAAATGGTGTTTTCTGTAATGGTGAAGAATCGACGTTGTTACGGTGTTTAAATTCTGGGTTTAAGTCAACTCTCTTGGGATATCTGTGTGATGGGAATGCTTATGCTTCTTGTTTTAGTAAAGATGTTGGTAAGTACGCTATCTACGTGTGGTACAGACAAGCCAACTTGAGGTTGCAATTCTTTCACAAAGGCGTAATTGCGAAGCTGTGTTACGTTAATGATATAAATATTTTTATGAAATGGGAACAAAGTGTTACATGTGGTTATTCGATGCTAGGTTGTCTTAAAGATTACGTTTTGCCGCTTCGTAATGATAATTCACAAACAGCAATATAGCTATCCATCATCAATTTGATATAGCAGTGTCTTTCTTATTTCAACAGTCGGTCTTGGGCTAGAATATTTAGGAATAAATATTTTAAGAGGTCTTTGATATGGCAATTATTTTAAATTGATTAAATATTGTATTATTTCAGTATTATCGAATATTCGACTATATGGTAGTAATTCCAAATCTACGGGTCTGGTGCAGGTCTATGTTGATGGTCCCAATCAGTGGGGAACGGTTTGTGACGATTATTGGGATGACCTTGATGCTAATGTGGTTTGTCAAGAACTAGGATTTGATGAAGGGAAGGTGGTGAAAGGTAACCGATTCCAGAGAGCTACAGGGCCAATCTGGCTTGACAATGTGGAATGTGTGGGAAATGAAACGTCTTTAGCAGACTGTACTAATCGTGGATTTGGTACCCATAATTGTAATCACACTGAGGATGCGGCTGTAGAATGTTTCAGTAAGTTTTTTTTTAAATAACTTTTTAAAATAAATTGGAACATTGTTCAAACTAGATTGGTCTTACAATCTTGTAATAGAGCGGTGTCCATTTCAATACCATATTTAAATGTAGATATTTTTGTTTCTTAGAATTGCTCAAATATGGTTGACCTATAGTACTCTCATCAGTTTCTGACACAAATATTATACTTTGTCTTCTTGTGACTTTCAAAATATCATTTGAATTTTTCTTTTCAGTGAAAGGAAGCACACCAATTGTGGTTACAACTGAAACACCAACGTCACAAACTGTCAAAACAACAGTACCGCCTGTCAAACCGACAAAACCACCGGCCCAAACGACACAAACTCCTGACAAAACGACTGAAACACCTGTCAAAACGACAGAACCTCCTGTCAAAACTACGGAAACACCGGTTAAAACGACACAACCGCCGGTTAAAACATCAGCTGCATCATCGACAGAAGGATCTACTACTTTGGGAACTGTCGGCGGTCCTAAAGCTGCTACTCAGTCAAATACTCAAACTGTTGCACTGGCTATAGTGATACCTATTATAGTGCTTATACTTATAGCAGTTGCCGTCATTGCTTTTATAATGTATAGAAAACGAAGACATCCTAAAGGACCTATTTCTCATGAGAGATTCCACGATGATATTATAGAACAAACACGTGATGGTAGTTTGGCGATGCGCAATCAGATGTTTGATATGAATGCAGAAAATAATCCTGCAGATCCATTTGATGCTGACTTTATGCCAGGAGATTCAGAAATAACAATAGGTGAAAATGGATACGCTCATTTTGCGAAAACTCCAACCTCAGAAGCCAATGGTGATACAGGGTTTAGTAACCCACTATATAATATGACCCCAGCAGAGACAATATCATCCGAGCCGGCCAAACTAAGTATAGACGTTCATGATCAGGATAATGGTCATTCAACGACATAATTTCTCTTCCATATTCTAATAACATATCGTGTATAGTGTACATAGAAATTATAACTAATAGTGTTAATACTTTTATTTTTACTATAACTTGCTTTTATACTCTACGCACAATTACATTCCAATTTGAGACCGCGGTCTTTCATTCAAACGTAACGAAGTGTGTTGGTGATGGCAATTGTGGATATTTCTCATTTAGTGCCGAAAGCAGTGTCCAGATGTGTTAGTAAAATGAGAGTAACTTTACTTGAGAATAAATGTGTAAATGTTGGATGTGTTTTAACTTCAGAATAGGTCAAGACCTTGTCATGGTGTTACAAACTGTTTCTAAATACAACCTCACAAGACAAATATATATATATATTACTTATTCAATTCAGAGTCTCAATATCACTTTATCGGCTATATCTCAACTATCAATGTTATTTTAACTAGTGCTAGTTGTGATTTATGGTGGGGTTTATGCACCTATACTTGAAATAGCATTCTGGCATGAATATCCTTCTATAGCAATTGCTTTTACATTAGAGGTAAATTCATATCTGTAGGCTGTCGAATTTATTTCCTTTTCCTTAATATTAATTTACTTTTACTTTAGTTTTATTGTCGTAGTTCTTAGATAAACTATTTTTTTTTAATGAAAGGTAGCCTAAAACCATTGTTATATTTGTGTATTTTTTGCTGTTCATGATTCCACTTATGCCCTACATGATTCCAAGGTATTATTACTTCTTTCTCTATTTTTTTGCGTTTTGGAAAGCTTATCTTGCAAAATTTCATATTATTTTTTCTGCAAACACAAGTTTAACCTGTTAACAGTTTTCAGTAGATCTGAAAAAATGGGCATAACATTTTATTGGCAAAGGTCCAATTATAAGATATTCAGTTGTTCTAAGATTATACCTGTGTATCTTTATGAAAAGTAGTAGGAAGTTTGACATTGTTTTAGGGTAATAAATCCATTGGATAACAATTGATTGTTGATAGTGGTGTACAGCCTGCAATCAGAGAAGCCAATGAAATGTAATTACTAAATGTTGTATAATATATATATCACAGGAAAGCTAAATCTACAATGTCCAAGTCTGTGTTTAATATATCAAAATCATATTAATAGTATTTTTCACTTTCATAAATCAGTGTGTTATGTTGTATAGTATTAACAAGGGAAATAAACTGTTCTTGTTATGGCATATTTTTATATCCCACCTAAAAAATCCACGCAAATAGCAATAGAAAAGACCCACAAAGATCCTGTCTATGGGTTAAACTTGATATTTCCTGGAAAATCTGTTTGTTGAAGACAGATTATTTTCATTCAACAGTGTCCTTGTGAAGAATACTAGACATAATATTAAAATATGCTGCACATTTTTCAAGCTTAGCCCTCATAATAGACAACTATCACGAGTTGATATGTTTAGAAAAATTTATATATATATAAATTACAATATGTTAAAATACACATGATGGACATATCTAGATATTTACAATTCTCAACAAGCTAAAGTTTCTGAATCACAAATTTTAATTTCAAGCGAATTAGCAATAGATGTGAACCAATTAAAATCAGGTAAAAGTCATAAAATCACATCAGAGATGAATGCTTATGATTATAGTTGCACGGTTTATTGAGAAATGGGAGGAGATGTGGAAGGGATAGCTTCTGATTGGTTGTTATTCTGTGACAGACTGGACATCATGTTATCTCCAGGCACGCCCATTGTGATTGTCCATAAATTAGACTCTTCTTCAGCTTTGTGTGAATTTAAACTGGTATGTGCTGATATTTCATATTCTCGTCCTAATGGTGTCCTAAAAACAAATATAAAAACATCTTTCACTGATCCATATGGTTATTCATAATGTTCTACGAGACTATGAGTATTAGACTAAAATCTAAAATTCAGATGAAAGTTGTGGCAGGACATCTGGTGGCTGCTTCACAATGACAAAATGTCTGCCAAGAGAATCCAAACAGTTTCTGGCCGAGATGAACATTGTGGTGCTTCAGCAACCTCTCTACTTGCCCAAATATAAATTTTGATCGATTTACTTTAAAGGCAGATCAATTTCAAGTGAAACAGACTATGGACTGCCTTTTCAAGTGGATGCTTTGGAAAATACTGTAGTCTTAGTATGGTTCATTGTACAATATAACTATCTTTGATCAATTATAACTGTATGTATACAACCAGCACATTATATCTGCTTATTAGTTGAGCATTTTAAATACTATGTCAAATAGCAAACTATTACAGATCTATTAATACATACCTTACAAGGAAATCCTGCTCAACAGCTAAATTTTGATTGGTTTTACAGTGTGTTAATATAACAACATCATTTGCCTGGAAAAGATAACACAATAAATAAGATTATCATCTCTTTTTTTTCCATTTTTATATGAATGATTTATCACTTATCTTCAAATCTAAATCTTATTTAAACAATATGTTTGGTCAAACATAAACTTACTTTAACTGGTGCTCCTTCATATTCCATTCTTAACCTGGGTTCTTTATGAACAACTTGCCATTGTGTTAAAAATGATGGTTCACTCACTAAAGAGACCAGTTGATGTCGAGATTTCTTGGCACATTTCATAAAAGTACAATTATCACTGTGTAATAGTAACTGAAAGAGAAAACAGGTTACATGTACAGTGAAATATTAGCTGATGGGGATAGAAGCTTACCAGTTGCTATACAGTAAAAAACCTCATTCTTCATTTTCTGAGTTTGTGTATCAACTTAATAGGAACACAGGTATTGCTGATTAATAAGAAAACTATCTTTATCTATCGGAAGAATATCTTATGAGCATTAATATAAGTTTAATAATAATGCATGAAATAACAGAATGAATTCAATACAAATTTCCATCTTCATGAGAGTCCACATAGTCGAGAGATTCTAATGCTCACATAAATTCACTAAGAAATTGTGGTTAAAAGTGGTCTGAATTGTCTGACTTACCCCTCCTGCTTCTGGTAAAGTTGTTAAATAAAATGGTTCACCATATCTCAACACATCATCACTTCCATTTACACTGAAACATCAAACTTCAGAATATAACCTCTAATATAATCCTGAAATGTTTTCACTTTCCGAAACACTTCAAATCTAAAGAATGGTCTGACCAAAAAAACCATTGCAGTGAAGTTTTTGATACATGATGACTTTTGTCTCTGGCTAAAAATTTCTTTACCCTCATCTTAAATAAATATCAGATTGTGCTGTTGGCCACAGGAGAAAATGACATGGTTTACTAATATCAGTGAAATATTAAATAATCATCAGTGTAAAAGTGCAATAAGTTTCACAGGGTAAGTCATGTGCTCATTTACAGTTATGAAATGTTAAAGTATGCAGTTATACCAAATTTAGAAAGCTAAAAGAAAACTGCTTCCTTTTTCTTAAAATCCAACCTCAAGATGATTTCAGTGAATCATCTGGTCAATCACTATAATTTATTACAAATGTAGTTTGATTATCCAGTAAGATTACAAAGCTTATGTTCATCTCATTGCTTTAAATCTGGATATTATCTATGTTAAGTTTTGAAGAACAAGGCCCGTGAATAAAAATTTAAAATATCACTAACCTTTGTACACAAAACACAGTGCGTAAAACAGGTTCTAAAGATCTGCAGCCAGTAACGTTACATGTGGTAGCAAATTTATCTTGTGACAACTGCATGGGATCTGTGAGATTTAGAGCCAGGGTACAATCATCTCTTGGTTCAACTCCTGCAAAATATCTGGTTCTGTCTGCAGTACCTTTACAACGTAACATGATCACATCACCAAATCTGATATTACCATCTTGGGATATACTTAGATTTTTCTGAAAGTCAAACAATCAGACTTTTATAAAACATTCTTGAACAATAAGCTTACTAAAGACAGCCTATAAAGTTATAAGCTAAGTATAGTGAATTCTTAAGCTTATAATACTTGTAGTAGCCTACTACCAAAAAAACATTTTTTCCAGTCAATACCACTTAAGACATAAATTTCATCAAAATTGTTTACAGTTGTCATTCATTCATTCTGTTGTCCAAAAAGACAAAATAAAAGATCAACTCACCTTTTGTAATGCTACAGCAGCTAAATTACTGGATTTTTGTGTTAACAACTCTCCCTTTTCTCTCTTGTCCAGAAAATCTTTCAATGTATCCTGTTGATTAGAAAAAAATAACATATATATATAACCAACTGTAAGTGTAATAGAAATCAGACAAGCCAGACTATTTAACAATATCGTAATATATTTTACAGTCAAATCTGTATACGACTAGAACAATTATAGAAGTACTCGAACCTATGATGACTGTAAGGCAAGTTGAACAAAAGCTTGAATTTGAAGAAAATTAAAAAAAAAGTGTAGGACAAAGATTGAACAATTGCAAAGATTTATTTCATATAGAAAAAGTTACAACATCTTACCTCTTCAAGTTGAATATCTTCATTCCAGTTGCCAACTCGGACAGATGGGTTATATGTTCTGACACTCATAGTGAAAATAAACTGTAAAATATCACAGGTGTTGCTACTTTTCCGTTGAAAAGTCCTTTATCTCAAATAAATCCGAGTTTTCCTCCCAAAGTCTAAACCAAAGCCAAATTGTTTACCTTGACAACAAATCTTGATTGCCCAGACACAAAGAGACAAAGAATTATGACTACTTCCGGTATCTCGAATCTCTGAAAATAGCAACGCTTAGCTTACATTACATTTACATTTCGGGATCACTTTGTTTATTCACTAAACTAAACTGATATATTCATCACAAAATAATTCATTGGTTTTATTGTTTCATTTTAACTCATTTCACGTATTGAGCGATAATGACAAAACAATCGAGGCTATCATAAAAAAATGGGTTTAATTAGAGTTACCTCTCTTAGACCATAGTCTCATTTATTATGAACAGCGTCTTATGACTTCAATTACTGAGTACTATCCAATTGCCCTTTCTCTTTGCAAAATACATAATCCAAATTAAGATTTTCCGAGATACCAGATTTAGAATTTGGGGTATTTATAAAGTGTGGAATGAAGAATATTCTGTATTTTTTAAGCATGGAACTCAGAAAGGGATGATGCATATATATATGCCTAGGCCTACATTAAATCTGTCAGAAGTAGGCCTCCTCACCTTCTGTTTTAGTTATCTTCAGTTAGGTATGCAAATTTCAAAAATAAGCTGTAAAATTTTTGCCCTCTGTAAAAACTTCAGAATGACATTATGTGCCCAGACAGTAGGCCTCCATTGTAGATTGGAAAATGATGGATAGCCTATGTATAGCTTGGCTTAAAGTTCATCATGCATTCAGCTTCAAATATTCTTATCCAAAGACATAGCTAGGTAGATAAAGAGCATATTTGTTCTCACTGACAGATAAAACTTTTTAAAAACTGCAAAGTAATGAGATACCTCTATATTTGCTGTTAAGAAAAAAACTACCAATATAGAATCAACAATATTTTATTCATTGCGTAAAGGGAAATACACAGTATTACAGATACAGAGAGTTATTGAAATATTATAATTACATGTTGTTAAAGAAATATCACATATAGCCCTAAATACAATATAACAATGAAAGCTATAAACATTTCTAATCAAATTAATCAAATGATATAAGTGAAGCTTCTTGTTGATTTGGATTTGGTGGCCGTTGATGTTGAGGTGCTTGTTGATACCCAGGGGGGCCCTGTCCAGGTGCATTCATATGCTGGGGATTCATCTGTTGGGGTGGTCCACCTTGATATTGCCCAGGATGTCCCATCATATTGCCTGGCTGTTGTTGAGGATTTGAATACATCTGTTGATTTGAACCAGCTTGTGGGAGAGCCTCAGACATCCCTTTCATTGAAAAAGCATTTGGATCAACATTGGGTGGAAGCTGTGAATAACCAGAATGAGGAGCAATATTTGGATCTTGGACATAGCCTTGGGACATCTGTTGTTGAGATCCATCTGTCTGAAGCTGGTAATGCCCAGGAGGACCTTGTGCCATTGCTGGACCACCAGGATGACCCATCATCTGAGGTTGGTAAGAATGAGGCTGGGAATACATCCCTTGACTGTTTGGGGCATCAGGTGGCATGTTTTGCTGAGGCATATTTGGATGTTGTCCATACACTCCAGTCTGGTGTACAGGAGAACCCTCTTGTGAACCATTAGGACTAAAAGCATAGCCAGGTCCTTGCATGTGCTCTGGCAGAGGTTGGCCTTGTCCAGGACCATACATTGGTTGCTGCATACCTTGGGGTTGACCGGGTCCTCCAACATACATTTGCTGTGGATAGCCATAAGCTTGATATTGCCTTATCTGAGTCATCTGCCTCTGCTGCTCAAACCTCATCTGCATTTCTCTTTCTTGTTCCTGTAACCTCTGTAAAGCCATCTGTCTCTGCATTTCCAAATATTCATGCTTCTTTTGTCTCATGATTTCTAGTTTTTGAGCCATTTGTATTTGCCTTTGTCTCTCTAGTTCTTCTGCTTCCATTCTCTTCTTTTCTCTGTGCTCTTCTCTCAATGAATCTAAAGCTTCTCTAGCATCTCTGAGCTGTGCTAACTTATCCTGAAGACCTTCATAAAATGTCCTCAATTCTTCCTGTTCCTGCATGTAAGTCATCAACTGTGGATTCATGTTGCTAATAACATTGAATAAAGACTGAACAGACGAGTCATTGGCAATACTTCTTCCTCTAATAGAGTTACTCTGCATTCTGTTGATGAAAATCTGAATACTTGTACTCAGAGCATGAAGAAATTGGGTTTGGTCAGCATCAGTGTCACCATTTTGATAAACCACTGGGCTGGTCACATTCACTTCATTTTGTTTAGCTGATGTAGAAACTGGCTCTGAGGTGACCACAGGAGCTGAGGGTGTAGTGGTGGACACTTTAGTTTCTTCTGATCTCTGCACCCAATAATTACGATTCAAGTATCTTGCCAACTCTGGATCCATGTCCGCGGTATCAACCATTGGTACTGGAGCATTGGAGGTTTGATTATAGGTTGGAGCTTTACTCTGAGGAGAAACAGAGCGTTCATTTTTAGAATAGTTTGAGTAGTTGGGTTTAAGTCTGCTCTTTTCACTCGTCTCATGTTCACTTTTAGACAGAGCCAGAGCAAGCTGTAATTCTTCTTCCTCTTGGATTTCTTGTTCAGACTTTGATGGTGGTGATTGAGACTGTTTTGACAGAGGACTTGCCAAATATTCTTGTGGTAGAGCATCACTTGATTCACTACTTGATTTAGCAGCAGCAGTTGTCTTGTTAATTGATTCATAACAGGAATCACACACTCTGACTTCTCGTTCTATACCATATTTGGGAATAATTGATGATTTAGCTGAACATTTATTACAGTAAATTTCACCACAGGCTCTGCAATGATGTTTTCTCTGCATCATACCAAACTGAACGCGACATCTTGTACAAACATCAGAATCTTTCCACTCTGGAGCCTTCTCGGCCATAAACATTGCGTCAGCTTCCTTCAAAACAGGAAATTTAAATCCTTCCATCTTCATCAGGTGAAATGTATCTTGTACTACTTTGTAGTTAGGTTCATTGCGGAAGGCATGTGCCCAGGCTTGAACCAATTCCAGAATCTTCCCCTTGACTGGATCATTTCTAGTTTTGGCTTGATCTTTCAAAAACTCCATGTATTCTTTAGTGGCGATTTCTTCATGAACAGCTGTTCCACAATTCTTGACAACTGACTCCAATACTTGAAGAGCGTACATCGCAACATGAGGATTGTCAGTTGAAACTTTCTTCTTGATAGCTCCCATAGCAAACTTGGCCACAACATCCTTTTGTCGGATACTGTCACAAATCTGTAAAATTGAGTCCCAGTCTGGCTCTAAAAGTAGTTGACTGGTGGCCTTTTCCAGGCATTTATCAAATTGGGTCTTGAACATGTTTCTATATTTCTATTTCACTATGAACTTAAACTGCGAAATAATTGTTCTACTTTGTCTGTGTCTTTTTTAAGATAATTCAGACTATATCTTGTGATTTTATGACAAATGATTGAGTTTTGTTTCTATTTTTAGATTTGATTTAGAATATTAATACGGATTGATTGGAAGATTATGGATATAAACGACTCAGAATACATTATGTCTTTCAGATTTGACTTTAAGAATATGATTTTATGAGTATGCTTTTATTTCCTAACAGCAATCTTAATCATATTTCTATTAGCTAATATTGTAAACTCTTCCGTTTTTTCAAAATTATTTGTTATTCTTATTTCAATCCGTAATATATGCATTGTTTACGGAAACTTTCGTAAAAAAAAATTGTTTTTTCTATTATTATTCTATCATTCAAACTCATTATTCAGTAGACTTTATTTAGAGAATCATCCACAAAAATATCTCGCTTATCTAGATTTTAAAAATTATTTCCAGTCTCGTAAATTCTCGAGCACCTGTCTACGTCAATAGAAAGTCATCGTCCGCCATATTGTGGGTGCTTCCCAAAACATTCAGTTGACAGGCGAGACTTTAGTTCAATTTATCTTCGAGGCGGTGTTGAAGTAGAAAGCATGACAAGCGTTTATCAAAGGACGGGTCTTGTGCAGAGACGTACAGCCAGTTCACATGCACAAGACACATCTGATTCTCGAGACGAATCCAGAAATTATGACGGAGAAGATAAAGTCGAGGACCATGATTCGAAAGAAACACGGTTGACGTTGATGGAAGAAGTTTTATTGCTCGGTTTGAAAGATAGAGAGGTGAGATTATGCATTGGAATTGACTTTATTGATGTTAACTTATTATTATTATTGCTCATTTACTGACAATTAGCTAATGACTCTTTGAAAGCAGTTTTGACAGTGTTTGTTTACATTTCTGATTACATTCACGTCACACTCACAGTTCAGTTCATATTACTTTCAATATCAGTTTCAACTCATTACACAACCTGCTTCTATTATTAGGATTCAGGATAGAACCTTGTTTACTGACACCCTAAAGTACTAGCACTGGTATTTGTGGAGAGTGGTTTTTTTTTTAAAGTAAACCTGTCCTGTCCTAGATTACCCATTTGAAAAAATTCACTCTGAATACTTTACACTTTGCACTTTTATTTTTAATTGGTAAATGCATTTCAAAACAATTTTACTTGGATATAAATTTGTTTCTCACAAATGTCTGTTGAAATTTAACGATTGATGGTAAAGGTTGTTTTGTAATTAATATAGAGAACTCAAATATAACCACAAATCAATCTTATATATAAATTTAATAAAATACCTTGTACTACTTACGGGCTTACATGTCAGAACATCTCACATAAACAAACTGAGACTAACAAATTTTCATTTATTATCCAATACAATTATTATTTATAACATGGGTATCTTGATGATGCAAGCAAACCTAATTAATAGAAAGTCTTGTCTTAAAACTGAATATGGAGGAAAATATTAGTTACAGACTTTTACTCCATCCAAAGGCTAAATGTGGTTACCTTGTCACCTGTCCAGCATTTTGCTTTGGATTTATTTTTATTAATTGAAACTGCTTCTGATTAAATTTTTGCTGAAATCAGACCTGGATAGCTCCATCTGCTGATCCTTTTTCACAGTGATACATTATTTATTTAAGGGTTACACATCATTTTGGAATGACTGTATTTCATCAGGATTGAGAGGATGTATATTAATAGAGCTAGCTTTGCGTGGAAGGATTGAACTAGAGAAGGCTGGAATGAGGAGAAGAAGTTTAGTGAATCGTAAAGTTATTTGTAAATCTGATACACCTACTGGAGATGTTCTATTGGATGAAGCTTTGAAACATATTAAAGAAACACAGCCTCCAGAAACTGTTCAATGTTGGATTGAATACTTGAGTGGTTAGTATATTGATTTGTTTTGTTGTATACCAATCTATGATTAATGAAAATCGCAGAAACAACTAATCAAGTATTAGTATTTTAGATCCGAGGTTCCTATCCCGAGGAAATGACATGTCTAATTCAGCAATGACAGTGACTTATCATTTTGGTGATTTGAATGAGAATCAAACCTTCTAAAAAGTTTCGAGTTTAGTATTAACTCACTAGAAATACAATAGCTTATCACACATTCGAGAGAACATTGAACTACAAACAACACCCCAAAATTATTCCAAGTGAACTACATTTAGAATTATATCATATATGCAAAAGATACAAGCATAGTGGACATTTGATAATTGCAGAACAAAAATGTTTAAAAGCTACATGATGTTTATTCAATAACTTTGTTTTCCTGAAATGTTTGCAGTGTATAGGTCTATTAATAATTCAACCATTGAAATATAGACCTAGTGTAAAAATCTAGCATTCCTGTATAGCCTACATAGTGCAGTAGAGCATGAACTACCGTTCTAATATATATATATATATTTTGTTGAAATATAAAATGTGAATGAGATACATTGTGAACATAAACAAGATAGGACAAAAATTACAATATTACATTGATAAGAAAATACCTCCAGGGTCCACCCAAGGCTGTTTTATAAAATGTAATAATATTGTTTAAACATTTTATCTGTGTAGCTCTTATCATAATAACAGTAGAATGAAATATAGATGAAATTTAAGATAGGGTCAAACTAATTTTTTTATTGTCTTGAATAACCAGACCTGCTAATTACTGATCAACATCTGTGATGAAACATAAGATCAATATAGAAAGAAAGCTCAGAGTTTTTGTGAGAATTGCTAATCAATGATATGACCCTCAATGCTAAGAAGAATAAAAGAAAAATTATTTTTATTTTGACTGCAATCTGAAATAAAATCCTATTAAAGTAAAATACTATTTTGCGTGTTGACTATTTACATTTAAGTATAGCAAAAAGAAGACCTAGCTAGTATTGTAAACTTTAGAGTTTGTTGATATAAGCTTATACTTTATCTGAAGCTATTGTGAAACCTGTACTGTTCATAGGCTCTTTAAGAAAAAATGTTACTGAGGACAATCAATATCTACTGCATAATTCATGTTATTTCATTTCTCAAGACATACATACATCACAGCCTTCTTTCATACTTTTCTATTATTATATAGGTATGAATTCATTTCGATAGGTTAGGGTTATACAAATTCCAATGGTTATAATGACCTAAAGAAGTATTTATCAATATGTTGAATATTTTGAAATGTGTATATAATAGTCTGAAGCAGAACTGGACATTTGTTTACAATATCAGACTGTTTGAAAAAGTTATAGCTCAATGAGATTCATTAAACAAGAAATACTCCCATTATTGACATTTATATAAAAACCAAAAAACCAAAATTCATTTCACAATATTTTCGGAAGCTGCGTTGGCTCAGTGAGTTAGATATTTGCTCGCTATCCTGAGGGTCCAGGGTTCAATCCCGGCATGGGTCGAGATAATACCTTCGGATTTTTCAACCCCGTTTCCCCTTGTCAGTGATGCAGGTAAGAGTGGCTGACATGAAAAAAGCGTTTAGTCGTTCGGATGGGACAATAAACCGAGGCCCCGTGTACTACAGGCTGTGCACCATAACATACAGATAACACCCTCGACAGTTGGAAATCGAAAAAGAGCAGGCTTATGCCGCTGTCTTGGAAAAATTTCCCTCATTGCACCCTGCATGGCGTTGCCCGTTTTCATCAGCCCACATGGTGCAGAAAAGTAGGACGTAAAACTCCATTCATTTCATTTCATTTTCACAATATTTATATAAAAACAAGTATCAATGGTTAAAGGAAACCAGGATTGCTTCATAATTTCTGTTTTGGCACTTTGTTTCTATGATAGTTTGCAATACTGATATATAATAAAATGCATAAAGAATATGATCTGTTCTGTGTATTAATAGGACACAATATTGAAATAAAATTTAGCAGTGCTATATTGTAAATAATGTTACATCCTGTTAAAATCACTAGATATATTCTGTAATAAAATAGTGTCACACAGTAATAGTGTAGGTATCTAATCAATATATAGGGTTTTTTTCACCAATGGTTAGTTATGGCTACAGCTGTCAACTTCACTTCAATAAATTTATTTCACAGGATCAATTCATAGCAACAGATGTAGAGTTTTGATTATAGAATAATCCTCCCTAATAGCCAGAATGAGCTAGAACTGAGGGGGGTAATTTGAACATCCCATACATTGAAATGTTGGTAAAATAAACTATTGTTATATTCTTAACCAATCATATATATTATTTAAAGGGATAAAATTTTCGAAACATCTGTTCATCAGCTGTAAAAGGGCAAGAAATTATTGTGATTTTTTTTATACACCTTACCATAGTTAGATATTCAACCGCTCAAATTTTCAAAATTATTTTTATACGCCCACATCTCTCTATGTGGACGTATATTGTCGGCACCCCTGTCCGTCCGTCAACATTTGCTTGTAAACTCTCTAAAAATTAGATTTTTTGATGGAATCAAATGAAATTCGGTATGTGTATACATATTCATAAGACGAAGGTCTAGTTCGAATTTGAGCTATTTTCGACCGTTGAAAGCAGAGTTATTGCCCTTGCCCCATAATCTTGAATATGCTATTACTATCTGAGTTTTCAACCGATTTTGATGAAACTTAAAATGGATGTTATTGGACCTAAATCGAAAGGTTTGAGAAAGTTTAGTTTACGTCTGATTAAATTCAAGGCTTTTTCAAGATTAAGGGCTCTTACGTCAGTTTTGAGGAGTTGTCGCCCTTTAACCTCTATACTGTAAGTGCTTCTATCAACATCAATTGCTTGTAAACGCTCTAAAAACTAGATTTTTTGATGGAATCAAATGAAATTCAGTATGTGTATATTCATATATTCATAAAAGGAAGATCAAGTTCGAATTTGAGCTGTTTTCGACCTTTAGAAGCAGAGTTATTGCCCTTGTCCCAAAATCTTGAATATGCTATTACTCTCTTAGTTTTCAACCAATTTTGATTAAACTTAAAATGGATGTTTCGTTTTTACCATCCGCATGCCGTGAAGGGCGTATATGGCTGTGGTCCAATATCTTTAATTAATTAATTGCGAAAGCGGATGAAGGATGACGTAGATCGTGCTGCTTAACAATAACAAACATGGCAGCCTCCATACAACTCGTGCAGTGATATTTTGTACACACTGTAATACCTGACAACAAACACACTTAGTTTCATTTGGCATTACCGTCACTGGCTACAAGTACACCAAAATGTATCCTCGGTTCTGCTGGACTAGTTTTACCCTGATTTTGAGATAATTATTATAATTCATCATAAGTAAGATATCATTAAATTCACTATAGTCCAACAAAGATATTCTGCTCATCTTGATCTGATTGAAGACATATACACCAGCTGTCTGCTATGTTTTTAGTTGGAATATAAAATAATATGAACTATACAGATTAAGCTTATATTGTTTTGATAACTACTTGTCTTAAACTACATCAAAAGAATGGACCCTCTGATCGTGTTTTGCATCAGATCTAGTTGAGCAGAAATATCTTTTCTGGCTATATATTTATATGAATTTATATTTCATTGAAATTGTACCTCTAATGGTAAAACTGTTTTCGGCTGTTGAAACTTTTGATCAACAGGCACAGCGTCCTGTAGCCTGTAGAGGCTAAAGACACATATCAGGCTCTTCAACTCTCTTGATTAGCAAAAGTGGGAATTGATTCTTAAACATTTTGTTTCAGTGATTTATTTTTTTGTTTCTGTAATTTCAGGAGAAACATGGAACCCATTGAAACTGCGATATCAACTTAGAAATGTTCGTGAAAGATTAGCCAAAAATTTGGTAGAGAAAGGCGTTTGCACTACAGAAAAACAGAACTTTTTATTATTTGACATGACCACACATCCCCTCACTGATTCCACATTTAAACAACGTCTTATAAAGAAAGTTCAAGATTCTGTGTTAACACGCTGGACCAATGATGCTCATAGAATGGACAAACGTATCTTGTCCCTCATTTATCTGGCTCATGCATCTGACGTCCTAGAAAATGCCTTTGCTCCTTTATCTGATGATGATTATGAAGTTGCTATGAAACGTGTCCGTGAACTCCTTGATTTAGAATTTGACAATGAAACAATGAAAGATGGTACCAATGAACTGATGTGGGCAGTGATTTCTACTATTAACAAATAATTTCTGTGTTCCTTTCAAACTCGTGGGATTTATTTTAATTATAAAGATATGAAGATCTTATTCTACTGCAGATTTTTACGTTTCAATATTTTCATTTTCACAGCTAGTGGATATAAAAAATAACATTTGGAGTTATGTACCTTTATTCTTTTCACACATTGAATATTCTTGAGATTTGTTAGATAGTCTTCAATCCTTTATGAAATATTCTAATTTCTAATGAAGATATGCAAAACTGAATATATGTAGGTTACTGCTCAATGATTGAGAGCATCACTCTATAGAGTTGTGTATTTATATTCAATATCCTATTGAAATGCTGACACCATTATTACAACATGTCATGTGAAATACCATAGCAAAAAAAATTGAGTCCCATTTCAGGTTTCATTGAAGCTATCATGCATAAACGTATGATTTAACATGTAATATAATATAACATAAGGTAGCTGTAACCTTGATAAATGACCTATGTTGACACTAGTGGCATCACTGAATTTTATTGTATATTATCTAAAACAGTAGCTTCTATTATAAACTCCTGTTTCTCTTTACTTCTTGTCACAAAAGATGCATTGCTTAATCTGTTTGTCTAACATTACATTAGCATTGACTGCTATAAATATCTTGTTTTCTTGGTACTAAATGAACTTCAAACTTAATCATTGGCTTTTAAAATTTTAGTTTTTCTTATCATTTTTTCCTTTACATGTTGTTATGTTGTCAAACTTATATTATTGATTGTTTGTATATAATGAAAGATGAAATATATTTATGCTAGGTTAAATATTTTAAAGTTTGTCTATTTAGTGCTTTGATAATTTACCAATCATTTGATAAGAAAGAAGATTTATTGTGAATTTCTTGCAATAATTGTCACAATAAAAGTCACTCCAGCCAGTACATATATAATTCCATCTCTGGTTGAATATTGAAAAATTGATTCAATAACTGGACAAGGTTGCACTTGAAAACATATGTTTGGATTTGCTATTATGGTGTTGTAGGGACTGTAAAAACTATTAAGGGTAAGATTAAGGTCTCTCTAACATGGCAGTGTTTAGAGATTCAGTCTCCCAGTATAAACTGTTCACAAATCAGTTTTTATTATACACTTGCTGCATATTTATTTAAACCTGCAATTAAATGTCGACGAGGTCATTGATAAAACATTAATTGATGGTAACTGAGCCAAATATCTAGTACATCTATACAGTATATTTATGGATGCAGAGAAGTATCTCTTTTTGTTTCCAAGAAGAGCTTGAAAATAAAGGATCTACTGACCATAATATATGGCTGATATTTCATTCACAAGCTTGCCGCTTATTATATAATTTGAAAGTGCAATCCTTTCCATTTTCTTTTACTAACCATTTAACCTAAGTTTGAGGAAAAATTGATCTACTATCCAATTACACAATATTTGTTTTTGTTGAAAGGTGCAGTCCTCACATTACTTGCTGTAATAGTTATCACATCTCTTATTTTAACTTCTGTATCACTCTTTTGAGGATCCGATCTTGTGCACCCCAATGACCAAATAGAGATATTGCTCATGATGACCCTAAGAAATGAAATTGATATTAGAATATAAAGATGATAGCTGATAAGTAAACAAGTAATGAGAGGACTGTTTCCCAATGAAGTTGTATATATTTTGTACAGTTGGGGAATTTACAGTATTTTGGGGGATAGAATCATTAGATATAGATGTGATCAAGTTCATTCCAAATAGAAAAAGAGTGTCCAGTTGAATAACTTAATCTTTGAATTCTGAAACCAATTAGATTTACCAATTTAATATGGAAATAAGACATAAACAGCCTTGACATGGAATACAGATAGTTCTTTTGAAATAATGGGCAGCTCTTAATTTCACATGAAATATAGACAGTTCTTTAATTGGACATGCAATAATGCTTATTTTATGTTGAAGATATAGTAAAATGTGTATGGGCATTTTCTGAAGAAATCTGAACAGGCATTTCTATGTTAGAAGATAATTATTTGACATTACAGATAGCTCTGTGTATTGGAACCTTTTGTCCATCGTTATTTAGAAGCTAGTGTCAGTCTAATCTTCAGAAGTATATTTTTGAAGTCACCTTGTCATAGGAAGAAATTTTGTTAACAACAGCGATTTAAATTAATATTTCAAATCTGGACACTCCCTATCATGTCACATACTAGAGGATTATTCAGGATCATTCACGTTTGTAGCATGTTTTTCACTTTCATGGAGATGGTCAATGCACCAGGAATTTGGTTATATTCATTCAGGCCTATCCAAAGCGTTTAATCTGATGAAATTTATGTTAAGTATTAAAAAGTAATAACTTTAAGAATTGTTGTGAATATGATGGGATTTTGTCTTATTTTAACTTTTATTTTGGATAAGGTCCCCCATCGAGTCTTTCAATAGCTGAATATTTTGCTGTTAGTGGGGTATGGCATTGAAGACGGGATATAGAACATACAAATCCATTGTGATATACATTATTATTATTATTTTGTGGAAGATATGCTTTCATTTAATGTATGATTAATAAAAGAAGATTGAAAACACTTTAATTCTGTTTATTGTTATTGGTTGGTCCAATTCTCTCTTTTATTGGACAGTTTCAAATAAAAATCACCAGCATACATCAATGGCTATATTTAGCCTGAAGCTCTCAAATTCTTCGGTGCAACTTGAATGAATGCCTGTATGTGCATTGTGGTAACTGGTATGAATATGATAAAGAAAATAAGCCGAATTCTTTATCTTTTATTCACATTTAAAAAGAAGAGAACATATTAGATTCAGAACTGAACATTTAGAATATACAGTGAAAATGAAACTCACAGATGCCGTAAGATTGACTGTTTTCTAGAAAACCTTGTTTTGCTTATGTCTCAGATTTCAAGGTTAAAGATATGAAATCGACTCTCGAATGTTACTCGGATTTTTCAATATTTTTGGTTGTTCTTGATTCCTGATGGTGGGGCATGCGCTTGCATGTGTGTCCGTGCTGTTGCCTTTTAGAATATACTGATAGAAATTGGGTTCAGGGGGACCATATTATTTAGCAGAATCTGAAAGCAACTGTATTCACAACAACTAGCGAATTTTAACATCAGCGATATTCTGGATGTTGGCGCACCGACGACACAGTTGACGCTGTTCATCGAAATGTCTTCTACTTTAAAGTATCTCTGACAGTTTACCTGACCGGTTGGAATTCTTTTAAAGAATAATTAATAAATTGTTTATTATTTCTTTCATAAAAAAGCACAAATTTACGCCAACATCTTAAATACATATATCACAAAAACAATGGATGTTACCACTGGCTTAAACATACTGGCACTATTTTTCAAAAACCATGGCCGATGGTCGTGTTTCCCATGATTTGTTGTCTCTTGCTTTTCATGAACGTCGTTTTCTGGAGGGATTGTAGACGTAGGACGAGCAGTGATCCTTGGTTTGTAAGTGAAGGAGCAGAAAGCATCGTCCTCTTGATTTGGTTTAAAGTTGCATTTCCATGGATCAAAATTTTTTATTTCTGATAAAGTCTTCGGGTTCTTCATCCAATTAATTGCTTTACTGACGGTGGTGATGTATACGTCTTCCATGGATAACAATCTTTGGATGAAATCATCCATAGCGTCTATGTTGTAATCGGTGTTCAGCCACCGAGAATGAAGATTGATATATAGAGGTGCCCGATTCGTTCGATAATTCCTTAAGAAATTCTTCCACAACATGTCAAATGACTCCTGCTTATTTCTTGGGGCATTGGCACAATAATCTACATAAGCACACATTTGTTCCTCGCGATAGTCCATCAAGATCACAACAGGAAGTATCCAAAAACCAGGATAGGCATTTTTAGGACACGGCTTAATGTTGCATAAAAGAGTATACGAATAATCCAGAGTAAAAGGCCACATCACTGGTGAATACACATTTCTAGGATAGGGGTAGGTCATGGTTGCATCATAGGTAAAATTATTGTTATAGAGAATACTGAACATTGTATCGCCGGTCGGTTGTAAGAAAGGGCTTCTCCAACCCTTTATATCCGCAATAGGAACATCAGCCAAATCCGCCAGATTAGTCTTTTGTTTCAGAATTTCATCTCTCAATTCCTGTTCCGATATTTCCGCCCACCATTTCTGAGGCATTCTATGGGAAATGCTGTGATCTGCTATTTCCATTCCTCTTGAATGCAATTTCTTAATCATACAATAATCCGTATAGTTATGGGACACGAAGAGAGTCATTCCAATCGGACAGCCATTGGGATTTTTCCTGCTTCCGTCTGGAGGAAAGAGTCGAGAGTAATATCCCCAATTTTCCCAATTGACAGCATCATCAAATGTTATAAGAACCATCTGTGGTATCTCTTCTGGTTTATAGCCACCCGGGATATTGTGTCCGGGACATCTGCAATCCGGAAGCTTACAATTCGTTGGTGTACAACTATCATCATTGTTCTTGTCCGCAAACACAACAACGGTGAAACAAACTAGAAAATAGATAAATGATGTACTGTATCTTGTATCCATTTTACACGTATACTGAATCCCCTGTTACCGACGAGATTTTCAACTTAATAGTGGTTAATCCAACCAGTTGTCGTGCCTTTTTTTATAATGAGTATATCACTGGTAACTGAATTTATATACTATCGGGCGAAATGCGCAGGATTTGTGTGTACATTGGTGAAATTATTTACCCACCTATGAAGTAAGTTTACCACGTTTGAATTTCTGAAACGTTTTTCATGCTTGGTTTTCTCTAATATATTTTTGGAATTTTGGGTCATGAGCACTTGCCATTTCATCAGGTCTTTAGATATTTTTATTTTTATTTCAACAAATGACAAAGTTAATTTAGAGCACACTTTCAAGGTCTTGAGATAAATACAATTGTGTTCTTCGTTTGAAGATTAGTTTTGCCAGATTTTAAAAGGCACATTTATTTTTGAATGTTTGGTTCTTGCATTTGCATATTGAAATTTAAAGATAGCCTTGGTCTCAGAAGAAAAAATATTGGATGCAGAAACTTCTGAACTAAAATTCAATCTGGAGTCGGAATTACTTCGACTTTTTGCTTTACTAGCAGTTAATGGTTTTGTTTTAATCTATAGTTGCCGTGTAATTTGTTTGTCGGTAATTACAAGATAAGCGAGGGTATCCGCTTGTTTCATTCGTCTTACCTGCACGAGTGCATACAGAGGGGAAAATCAGATTAGATGTTATCATTTCGACATATTATTTTTCACGATGTGAACATAATTTTTCCGATTAATTTTTTTAATTTCGAACTCAGTGGACGGTTAATTGAAACCATATATTACTATACTACATTTTATTTTCTTCTCTGAATAGAAATTAACCAGATACTCACTATAGAACTATGTATTTATTTACAGAGACACCAAAAGCATCTACAATAAAGAGAAGGCACATTGCCCAGCCAAACGACTATGCATTTACACTAATATACATTACACATATACATTATACATAATATACAAAACACTAATTTTACATGAAAACATACATTCAATAGTGTAAAGAATATTTTAGAACTGAAAAAGCAGGATTAATATTCTATTTCTAGATATTCCTTTGTTTCTATAGGATAGTTTAATCATTTTTGTACTCTGCAGACGAAAACGAATAAATGAGTTATAACTGCTACAATTGATATGAAATAATGCGCATTTTTTTTTGTCGCTATGCAACTTCTATGGTATGAAGAAAAATAGCTAACAAAACTACCAGATTAAATGTGATAAAATATGGTCGTATATGACGTAACTGGCTCTTAGACAATTATGCAATTTGCTAGTACGAACAAATATCATTTCAAAATCTCTCCACAAAATATCATCTTTGAGATTTGAAGAATTAACAGGTTGTGCGATACTGTCAATAAAAAAAAATAGAATAAAAGAGCAAGAAATATTAGTAATATTATTTACATTTACACATTTCAAATATAACACTCGTTTTATTCCGAACCTTTCTTATTGAAACTTGGAGGTCATTTACAAGTAAAAATCTTATATAAACATTTAGTCACCTCACGCTTTAACTTCCAATCAGCCACTTTTACTTTTCCTTTATACAAAATGTCAGAAGCTTATTGAAAAGGTCGTCAGGCCCTCAATATCTGAATACACAAAACACCAAACGTGAAAAATAAAGACGCTGTTGACATTGAAGAACTGTTCTTTAGGAACCACGGTCGGTGCTTCTTTCGATCATTGTGATAGTCTCCTTTCGGTGGGAGCCCGATATCATTTCTGTCACCTCCTTGCCCCTCGTGAACATAATTTGGTCTGGGGGAAGTTGGTGTTGTGGACTGATTTGGATTTCGAGTTGTTCTAGGCTTATAGGTAAAAGAGCAGAACGCATCATCCTCTTGATTTGGTTTGAAATTGCATTTCCATGGTTCAAAGTCGTTAATTTCAGTCAGTGGTTTTGGATTTCGAACCCATTCGATGGCTTTGCTTACTGTTGTAACATAGACATCATCCATTGTGGCCATTCTTTGTATAAACTCGTCCAGCGCATCGATGTTGAAGTCGACATTCAGCCATTTTGAATGCAAATTAATGTACAAGGGTGCTCTGTTAGTTCTGTAATTTCGTAGAAAGTTTTTCCATAAAAGTTGGAATGCTTCATCTTGATTTCTCGGCGCATTTTTACAGAAGTCCACATAAGCACATGGCAGGTGCTCTCGATAGTCCATCATGACTACAACCGGAAGTATCCAGAAACCAGGATAGGAATTTTTGGGACACGGATCAATGTTACATACCAAGGTATACGAATAATCCAGAGTAAAGGGCCACATTACTGGGGAATATACATTTCGCGGAAAGGGATAGGTCATAGTGGCATCATAGGTAAAATTATTTTTATACAAGATATTGAACATGGTATCACCAGTTGGCTGTAAAAATGGACTTCTCCATCCTCTCAGGTCTTCCATTGGAATTTCAGCTAAATCAGCAAGATTTTGTCTCTGGTTGAGTATTTCTTCAGTAAGATCCTCGGTGGAAGCCTCTGACCACCACTTATGGGGAAGTCGATGCGAAATACTGTGATCTGCTATTTCATTGCCCCTTGAATGAATTTTCTTGATCATACAATAGTCTGTAAAATTATGAGACACGAAAAGAGTCATTCCAATTGGACAGCCATTGGGATTTTTTCTGCTTCCGTCTGGAGGAAAGAGTCTAGAGTAATATCCCCAATTTTCCCAATTGACAGCATCATCAAATGTTATAAGAACCATCTGTGGTATCTCTTCTGGTTTGTAGCCACCCGGGATACTGTGTCCGGGACATCTGCAGTCTGGAAGCTTACAATTCGTTGGTGTACAACGGTCTTCCACATCACTTTTAGTTTGAGCAGCTGCTAGTCCAACATAGGCAAGGAGTAGTAATACAACAGTATTCATCTTCAGAAACAACTGTTAGTAACAGAACATGTTATATGCAAATAATCACAGCTTTTAACGCGGCAATTATCGAATGACTTGAATAAAGTATCCTATATATTCGACTCACATCAAATGAACTGCTCCAAACGTGGTGTAATTTCCTACTATAATTATTTACCAAAGTATGAAGTCAATCGACCACTGTTTTTGAGTATCTTTTCGAGTATACGTGAGGTCTAGTCTCGTAAAAACTTTTTATTACTCTCTGTCGTGTGACAGTTTACATTTCTATCTTAAATAGTCAAGACAAACGATTTCTGGATTTAAGTCTAATTTAAGAAATAACATCATGTACATTGTAAATTCTATGGTTAACATTACGACTAAATGTTGTGGCACGGTTTCTCCACTGACTTAGTCCTCATCTTGACCTAGGTGAGAAAAACTCGAACATGTTTTTGACGACGGCATTAGACTTAATTTACTCATTTAAATGTGTTTCGTAAAGTTAAAAGTTAGCCTAAAGATTAAAATAAAAGAAGATTTTAGTTATTGTATGATATGTTTTTGTTGCCTTTGTTACCATTTCAATCAATTTCGGCATTTACGATTAAAACAATGGCATTAACCGATTTTGAAATGACGACTTTATGGAAAGTTTACTTCCTGTCGTAACTTCCTGTTGACTTTTTAGTGAAGGTCGCGTTGATACTTGTCTCCATATTTTTTCATAACATACCTAACCGAATATCCACCGCCTGGTGTTGAAGAAAAATGCTATTAGTTCAGTCTGTCATTTAATGAAAAATGTTTCAGTTCTGGTGAGGGACAGATTGTAACGTGGTGTATTAGCTCTATTTGGCTAGCTACCACTGTTGTAGCTCTATATTTTAAGTTGTTGTGTACTGTATTATTATAAAATGGTGACTACTGTATTAGCTCTGTTTTGTATTTTGTTTATATAGTAAGTTGGTGAATAGAATACTTCATAATTTTTTTTTATTGTAATGTGGTAATAACTGTAATAACTCTCTATTGTTAATTGGAGACTACTTATACTAGTGTTTTGTTGTATTTGGTGACTCTTGTATAAGCTCAATATTTTAAATTGGTGACTACTGAATTTGCTCTTTATGTAATTTATTGACTACTGCCTTAGTGCTAGCTTGTAATTTGCTAATTGTTGTATAAGCTCTAGATGACAATTTAATGACTTCTTACGAAGCTCTAGCTTGTAATTTGTTGATCGTTGTATAAGCTCTAGATGACAATTTAATGACTTCTGTCATAACTCTAGCTTGTAATTTGGTGATTGTTGTATAAGCTCTAGATGACAATTTAATGACTTCTATCATAGCTCTAGCTTGTAATTTGCTGATTGTTGTATAAGCTCTAGATGACAATTTAATGACTTCTGTCATAACTCTAGCTTGTAATTTGGTGATTGTTGTATAAGCTCTAGATGACAATTTAATGACTTCTGTCATAGCTCTAGCTTGTAATTTGGTGATCGTTTTATAAGCTCTAGATGACAATCTAATGACTTCTGTCATAGCTCTAGCTTGTAATTTGATGATTGTTGTATAAGCTCTAGATGACAATCTAATGACTTCTGTCATAGCTCTAGCTTGTAATTTGGTGATTGTTGTATTGGCTTTAGATGACAATTTAATGACTTCTATCATAGCTCTAGCTTGTAATTTGGTGATTGTTATATTGAATATAATTTGGCTGAAACCGCTGTTGACTTAGATTCTAATTGACGAATGCTGAATTCCGTGATAGTTTTAGAATTTTGGAAAATAGTGAACTCTTCAAAGCCGATTTAAAATACAGATAAGATAACAATCTACACGCTTTTGTATGACATGATCCAGACCACCCCTACTCTTAACCCCGAATTTCTCTTTGTAACGAAACACAATAATTCTAAATCTGGGTGTTCTTAATTGAGAATATATATAGTGTCAAATTTAATTAAACTGCCAATGTCAAGGATTACCATGTGTTTGTTCAAAATACACTTTTTATCTTGAAAGATCATTTCGTGCAACTTTCAATTTGTATCTTATTGGTGTTCGTGGTATACACAGGCTTGACATTTCACAAACAACCCACATACATGTAACATATCCTAACCACTGAATACATACAAACACATAGGTTGTTCTTCAAACTTTTTATCAATTGACTAAACATCTTATGACGTGATACTAGGGCTTGCGTTTTATATAAAAAACGTGATTTTTGGTCGGCGATTTTGGTGAAAGGATATGAATTTTTTCTTAATTAAGACCTTTTATATGTGAAGCAGGTTAACGTGAATAAGACTATCGGATCCGTGGTACAGTTGACCACAGATCATGATGTAGCCATTTGTTTGCATTTGTATTCTCATACAAATCTAAAAATATATTTTGGCCATCATGAGCAAATTCATATATGAAATATTTTTACAGCTTTCTCTTGCTTATGTGGATTATTAGAAATGAAATAAACTACTAGACAATTTCCTTTTTTAAGAAAAAAAAACCTTAATAAATCTATGATGGATGTTGAAATGGCATATTGTAGCTTAACTTGTCATTACACTTTCAATTGAAACTAAAAATTAATTTGATTAAAAGTATTTTCATATTGTTGTTGGCGATATACCTGTTCACTTTTTCTAGCGATTAGCAGTCGCGTATGGTTGCAAAAAATGAAATAGCCATGAGTTCCGAACGCAACTCAAAACTCCGTTGCATGAGAGTTGCGTTCGAAACTGATGACCACCATTCTTTTTCGTTACGGTGTGAGGACCTCTTGAGGTCCTCATGTCTTCCTAAATCTAAATTTCTGGCCAAATAACAATACTGTCTGACATGAAACGAGATGAATAATATTTTAATAGCGTTGTCTGTGATCAAGTATTCCAGACCATTACAATTTTAACCATGATTTTAACGCCCAACTCTTCCCTGAAAGAATTATAATAATCCAACATTACTACGTGTCTAAAAGTCAGTACGGTGCCCATGATTTAGACTTTTGTCCTAATATGTTGTAAAGTTTTTCACACTAATGTCCAACAAAATAACACACATACCATAATTGGCAAAGTAAATAACCAGCCTTGAAATTAAATATTGGTTGTAATGACTGAACTATTGATACAGTTTGTTCGCATCCTTCATCAAAATTTGATTTTAATCCAGTTGGTAAATAGATTATACAAGCAGCTTGATCGGAAGTCATGCCGGTATATTATTATTAGGTTATGATGCATGGGTGCCCATGTACCAATGTAGATCTATAAGGTTATGATATGGTGTCCAGTTACCAATAACTGAAAGCGATTCCTTCAAATTTGTAAAACTGTTGTAATTACTTTCACTACTGCGACATGGTGTATCTGTACTGTTCCTTTAGAGACCAATTAAGTTCGTAATGCGTGACTTACGTCTTTAGTTGACAAAACGCCCGCTTCCAGCAGATCATGCTGATCAGGCAGATTTGGTAGTTGTTGGTAGTCGTAGAGGTTGGTTCATTTTGGATGTGCTCTGTTCGTAACGACGGTCTGGTCGGATCGAATGACCAGTGATGAGTAAAACTCGGCCCTTGGTGGTTCGGTTAGATTTTCTGGTAACTGTTGGCGTCTTTGGAAGAAAACATGACTTTATGTACATTTTTTTGGCTCATATCATGACACATTGAAAATAAAGATATTCCATCTAAAAAGTCAGGCGGGGGGTGGGATCAATCATGCCAGTCAACCAAATAGTAATATAATGGTTTTGAGGGATACAAATGTTAAGCAAAGGGCTATATTTATGTTTGAAAACCATCTACTTGTGTCGTGTAGTTTGCTAGTTGATTGTATGTTGTACAATGTCAATAAAGCGATAATTTTGTCTAGTTTATTCTCTAATCTTTATTTATTGACACCAGTTTGTCAAGATGTATTAAGTAACTTATTTGAATTCCTGTGTGATATTATTCATTTTAAACAATTGTGTTATAGAATTAGTACAGATCAACCTGTATATATCTCCTTAATTGCATATCGAAATATATCAGCCAGATTTTCAAGGCGAACAAACATCAGGTTTATGTTACCTTGAAATAATCATACGATGCAATTTTTGATCGTAAAGTAACGAATGTAAGTATAAGGTGAATGGACTGGGAGCTTGAGCTCTATCCTTAAAGATTATCCGGGCGCCATTCCAGCATAGATCTATCTATAAAGAAAATTATCAGAGATGCAAGTCGTAGGGATAGGAATGGAAAATCGTCTATAACATAAGTTCGGACGGACAGAGGACTTATGTTTGACAGGCTCATTCGACAGTTAAAAATCCATAAGAAGTTGTCTATTAGCACTGCCCTTCAGTGTATACTACGTGGTTATTTTCTTCTTTAGCTAGGTCACCCAATTCCTTGTCGATTTTGTCCAAGTTTCGGGTCAACAAGGTCTTAAATGAATTGCGTCAAATAAATCCTTAAAATCCAGAAAACGATTATAGTATTGTACTTATTGAATATATTGGCAATTACTTTAGAATGTATTTCAAACGGCCAGCAGTTAACACAGTCTGCACTTAAAGTGTTAAAACATACAGAGTTATTTCCCATTAGTCTTTAGCAATGCTATTTCTGACATAGTTTATTCAACAGTCGTCTTTCAAAGTAGGCCTACATATTGTCATTGACTTGCTGCATTAAGCTTAAAGTGTAGAATGCATTACTCATTCATATTCATACACTTTGATGATCGAATGTGTTTTTCCTTCGTGAACTGATACTTGTATTAATTTAATTTAGTTTTCATAAAATGACAAGGGAGAAAATTAGAAATGTTTCTGCCAACCTATTTATATGTGATAAGAAAAAAAAATTCAATTGGTCTATAATATATATTAATTTTTTCTATGAATTACAGATATTGATGATGAAAATGATGTTAAACAAATCTTGCATAGATATAAATTACATAATAATTAGATTTCAGAGAATGATTCAATTATTTATTCCGCCTTTCACAAAACTTGTAGGGATCATACAATACATTGTACAGGCTTAACTATATTCTTTTGTAATAGACAGACCTGTTTGACAGAGCAATTCACAAATGGATATCTTGAGAACATATTTGATTATGACATTCTCTCTTTCATTGCTTTACCAATCAGGACTCAAAATTCACCTTCATTATTGTACATTCTAGAATCAGAAGTTATCTTAGTAAAGATGAATGACTAAGGTCTGAAGACAAAAACATTCTAGGTTTCTGCATTGCCTACACAAATGAGACACTTCATTCCATCCTATATAAGAATCAGTCAGCATTATGAGACTATGATTGTAAACATATTAATTTATATAAATATTGAGAATATGAGACAAAATGAATTAGTAGTATAATATAATAAAGTATTATAAATATAATATCTTAGCTCATTCATTAGAGACATTTGTTCATCAGTTAACAGCACATACTGCCTTGAATATACAATACATAGACAATATAAAAATACAATTAAATACAAAAATTATTTACAAAATTATACATAACATTGATTAATAAATAGTTTGTCTATATTACACTCATTATGCTTTAAATCAGATTTGATGAATAAAAGGCCCAGGAGTCTATACACAAAGTGCCTAGCCATTGTGAACTAATTTGTAAACATTTCTTAGCGTCAGATAGCCTATGATTTTGAACTACATCAATACATATCATTCACAAGAACCTAGCTAAGTTGAACACCACAATTGTCAGAAAGCCTATTCTATTTACTAAATACCATTATGATTTCATTACTAGCCAGCATACTCTATATAAGAAATACTATTCTGTTTGCTATGTATACTTTGTGTAGCCAACTCTCAAATATTACAATTTAGGGGAAGGCTTATCTACTAGCTACATCAGAAAGTGCTTCTAAGGGTCTCTTAATTCTTTCACTAGATCAAAATCTAAGACTACAAATTATTTCAAGAAAATAACTAAAGCAGTTCCTAATATTTCATTTCCGCACTTCTTTACTTACTGACCTGAAACACATCTAAACAATCAAACACTATGAGCACCATTTTCTACATGATAACATAGTGTTACTAAGAGCTTCATTAACACTATTTAAGTCTAAATAGCATTGTAATAACAAATTTTATCTCTTGAATAACATAAAAAAAATATTGATGGTATTTTCACACTCAAACAACAAAAAACATTAACTAGAACAAAATATTACAACAAATAAAGCACTCATATAATCCATTATTAATTCATAATTGATGGAAATCTTATTTATCAACCAAACTTCTAGATTAATTTAAGATATACATTAACAAAACCATGGAACATTTTACAGGAGAATAATTAAGTATTGAACAAGAACTATAATATATTTTGATCTAAGTGGCCACTTTGTTAAATAACAATCGTCAAGTTGTAAACTTAACACACTGGCAAAGTGCAAGAGATGTGCAAACTTCTTATTCTATGCTAGCAACAGTAATTATGCTAATCTGCAATACCAGCTAATTAATTTGCAGAAAACCATCATATTCCCCCATTTCTGATTTGGAAGGAATTTTACTGCATTTAAAATATATATTCCTAAGTTAGTGGTATTTCTGATTTTGGAGGAATATTCTGATGCTCAATGGATGTGAATTAGATTCCAGCACTGTGTTAACTATGGATCTACTCTTCTTGACCTCGTCTAATCACCAACTTCACCTCACCATCAGGTAGATATTTTAAATGGTTCCAAGCTTCATAATGTCTCATGGTAGTAAAATCTAGATCATTAACTTGTAATATCTGATCTTTAACTTGTAGCTGACCACATTTATCTGCTGGACCACCTGAAAGAAATGTCAGAATATTTGGTGTAATTGTTATCATATAATAAGGGTATAGTACCAAACGTTTTAATGCTTGCTTACACATCCAATAAAGCGCTCGATTTCGTTTTTATTAGTATGACTTGATGGTTAACCACCTGCATGGTCAATGTCAGTCCATTTAGATTGGAAGAAGACAAGCTAAGTAGCCATATACAGAGATTTTTCATAGTGTAGGAGCCAACACCAATAGTTCATCAATATGTGTAATATTTATTATGAGGCTTTGTACAAAATTTGTTATTGAACTAACCTTTAAATATTCTCTTAATAATAATAGGCATATCTCCCTGAGGTGAACCAATACCGCCTGCTAGACAGAACCCTACACCAGTAGCTCCTTTCATCATTGTTACTTCCATAGTTTCACCACAAGTAAAGTCTAAATTAGTAAAGGTTGGAGATGTAGGAGTGGTTGGTGTTATTGGTGATGGTTTTCTGGCTTCCCGATCTGAAAATAAAATACATGTACAGTTTTACATCTGACTTTTCTCTTTCTGCACATCATATAAATTTCATTCAATTTTCTTGTGCGCAATTTTTCAAGGACAAAGGCATTTGCATACCCTTTTGAAAGAATTTTTACAGTCGACAAACACATAGCCAGTCAAACTTTTTGTTGTATGAGTTCATGTAATATAAGAAGTGATAGTTCTTGAAGAATTTCCAATAGCATGAAATTTAATGGAGCAGAATTTGCTCTAAATTGAGAGCTAGTTAATAATATGACTACCTTTTGGTTTCGGACTTGCTGGTGTTTTAGGTGAGTTTTCTCCCCTGGATAAGACCAATACAACAGTTGAACATGGTGTTTCTACTAACTCTTGTAACTCTTTCACAGATTTATCATCGACAGGTTTACCATTCACAGACACCAAACAATCAGTGACCTTTATTTTACCATCAGTACTAGCTAGACTGTTTGACATCAACCCTGATATCTAGAAAAACAATTAAAATTTTTTAACAATACTTCAGTACTACAGTACTATGGATACTATAGAAGATTGTCTTCCTACAAACTAATGGTACTTATATACAGGATTTAAAGACACAGAAATACATGTAGGCAGGATTAGGTGATTTTCTGGAGAAAAAATATGTATTTTGATAACACAAAAGAAACATTGTATTTCCAATGTGATTTAAAAAAATTTTACACATGCAATGTCACTTTCAAATGCTTCTTTAATGCCTTTAACCCATTGACTCTTGGCTCGGTAGAAGAATCTTGGCACCTTTCAAATTTCATTCAAAAAGGCAAAATCTAAGTTCTTTTTTAAGCTTAAAGTAGGGAAGTCATACTTACTATAACTTTTCCTTGTGACCCTTTCATTAATTCTAGTCCAACTTTATCTGTTGGTTCATTTCTATGGAGTAAAACCACTATAATTTGATTAGATGATGACACTCCAGTTCTATCCATAGTCTGATTGGCTTGATCTACCAGACACTTTAATTCTTCAGGCTCAATTAAACTCACATTAGTAAAGTCCAAGAATTCAAAGGAAACGTTTGCTTTTCCTTCAATAACACTAGTGTCTTTATCACTTGTTACAAATGTCCAGTCTCTTTTACTTGTAGAACTACTAGAAATTTTCAGAGCTTCATTTGTCACATCAGGTCCATTACTGGTCATTGAAATATTCACATACTCACTATTGTTTGTATTGTCCAGTAATGTGTCATTTGAAATATCAGATTTAAAAGAGCTATCAATATCAATATCAGTAGCTACTAGAGTTGGGGTTCCCAAACTTTTAGCTGGTGTTGATGAATAGATCTTGTTATTTGTGTCATCTTGATCAGTTCTGGGCAAGGATTCCTGGAAACTTGAAACCTGAATTGAAGATGCAGAATTTGAGACTTCAGGCTCATCACTAGAAATTATAACTGGTTTAGCAGAGAACAGATTCTCATTGGAGTCTAACAAATCATTTTTAGAATCTTTTACAACATTTAAATCAGTGCTGTTGGTCTGGTTTGGCATGGTGCTATTGGTAACAGTATCCACCAGAGTGGTGCTAGTTTGGTCTGCCTCACTTGACTCTTGTGGAGAGGTAACATTATCATGCTGTGAATTACGTGCAGTGTTTAATAAAGAATCACTTTGTGGAGTTGTGAGTTGGTCTTCAACAGGATCTACACTACTGCCTACACTATCATCTAAAATACCAGTTTCTACTTCACTTGTTCTCCTTTCACTTTCTACAGGATCTCTACTTTCAATTTCATTTATTGCACTATTATCATTGGTTACATCAGGAAGAGCAGATGGAGCAATATCTTCAATTAAATTAGGTGCAGCAGCCACAGTCTTGGTTTCCATTGACTTGATTTCATCTTCCGGTATTATTGGTGAGCTGTGGACTATGTCTGGTTGTGGATCAGTGAACTGAGAGGGTGGTTTGATGATACTTCCTGTCATAAAGTCAACTAAATCTGGTGGATCTTCAAAACTAGGTAGTAAGGTTGGTGGTGGTATTGCTGTTGGGGGTGGAGATGAAGGCAGAGGGGGTGGGGCTGATGATGGCAATGGTGGTGGAGATGAGGATCTCTCACTTTCTGTTTCAGAAGCCACAGGTTCAGGTACAATTTTAGATACCTCATTGGTTTCATCTTTTGTTTGAACATCACTGAGAATATCAGGCCTAGTTTGAACGGATTCAACAGCTTCGGGAATTAAAGTTTCTCCCACAAGTGCTGGTGCAGACCTTTTAACCAGTGTAGTGTCATCAGCAACCATTTTATCTTCAGATAATGGTTCATGAATTGCATTTTTAGTTGATGGGTGATTGTCTTCTTCGCTATTCATAATGCATTCTTTAGCACTGTCAATTACCTTTTCAACCAAGGCAGCTGCATAAGGTTCTACCACACTGTCAGGAATAACTGTACCAACATGGTCTACAAGTAAACCTTCAGTATTTTCTTTTTGTCTGTCATCAGTTCTAGTTTGTTCTGAATCTTTATCTTCTTTTTCTATAGTTTGAACCTTACTATCAGCAATAGCATCTTCTTTGATGGATTCACAAGAATCATCAAGTGTCATGTCTATGTCATCTACCTTCACATCTTCAGTATTGTTAACTAAAGCTGAATTATTCACATTCAATGCAGCACTTTCAACCTTTTTAGTGGTAATCTCTTCATGTTTAACTGGTACATCAGATTTATTTTCTGTAGTAGACTCAACAATTGTTTTTTCAACCTCTGAATCCAAATTTAAAAGATCATCAAATTTGGTCTGGATTTCCTCTTGAGAAAATTTTCTCTGCATGTCACGTTTTGGACTCTTTGGACTTACATACTCCAATTTGACACCAGGAATAGGTGATGCTGTATCTGATGGAACCAACTGTTCTCTTGGTGAAGTAGGTGAGTTCATGCTGTCACTTGGTGACTTTTTGGTGCCCTTGTTTCTAGGTGATTTACATTTAGGAGACTCAAAAATAAGATGAGGCTCAGTGCAGACAACTGAAGAAGGTGTGGGTGAGGTACATTCAGTATTTGTGGTGATAGTATTGGACTCCTTACCTGCAAACCATGAGGCTGCTTTTGGCTTGGGTTTTGTTTCTGGAGGAGGGTGAGATGGAGCTGTCAATTTTACAGTTGAATTGATCTCTACATTTTGATTTTGAGAACTTCCTTTGGGAGCTAATGCTCTGTTTAGGCGTACTGGGTTTACTTTTACTGGTTTTTCAGTTAGATCTTGATAAAATGGACTGCTGGGTGAAAGAGGTGATGGATTTGATCCTGAAGAAGTTTTACGTTTAGGCTCTTCCACAGACTGCTTTCTTACTTCTGTTCTTGTAATTTCTAAAGAGTTTTCCTGGTTTGTTATTTTCATGGAATATGATTTGTCCTGATCTTTAGGTAAATCTCCTTTGGATTTGACAGTAGTAGAATACACCATTGTTGGAGCACTGGACTTCTTTTCATCAGAGAGAAAGACATCTCTATCAGGTGAAGAGGATCTTAATGAAGCCGTTGAGTGTTCAGAGCTAGAAGAGGTCCTGCGAGCCGCTGCCTGGGGTGGACCAGAAGGTTTGGCAAGATCTGTCTGTCTCTGTATTTCTGTTTCAAATCTCTTCAGTTTATCATTCAATTTCAATGTTTCTACACCAGGTGATTTTTGTCTGGTGGTAGGTAGTGGAGGTTGTGATTCTACATCATTTGATTTCTGCGACTGTATGGGTGTCTCTACAGATTTCTGTGTCTCAACTTGCCTCTTTGGTGGATCTGGCAGAGGGGCTTTAGCACTTCTTGATTTTGGTTTTGGAGCAACTGGAGGTGGATTTTTAACAGGTTGGGGACTTGTCACTTCATCTGTTTCCTTGCCCCAGGTAGCAGCAATTATTTTACTCTCTGCATGAGATTTGGGAATATCAATTCCTAATTTCTTTGCTGGATTATTTTGATTTTTGTTGACATAAATGTTGGAAGAATGAACTGGTTTCTTGACAGGTTTAGGAGCCTTTTCAATTCCTGAATCCCCAGAATCTGATCTTGGAGACAATGCTGGAGATAAAGCAGCTGGAGACTGAGGTGACATGATGGGTGAACTTCCTATAGAACTATCAGTTTTAATCACAAGTTCATCAGATAGTCCATTTTGATTTTCACTTGTTTTATTCACAGATTTAACACTTGGTTCTGATTTGTCAAATGGGAAGGGGACACTTTTAGCACCATTAGAAGTAGGCTCATCCTTTCTGAAAGGATACTCTACACTGGCTGATCCATTAGAAGATCCATTTACACTGTCTGATGTTTTATCCACAGAAACTTTCCTAGTGGGAGGTGCCACTGGAGAATATTTACTTTCCTTGATAGAAGCTAATCCATCACTTAATGATTTGGGAGAAGATGAATTTGAAAGACTGGAGAATGGTTTTGGTGAGACTCGAACACCATATTTGGTAAATCCAGTAGATGGAGAAGTTGGTGACAGTTCCATGCTGTTGTCTGTACAATCTGTATCAATGCTTAATGGTCCTGAAAATAGAAAAGAAAGCCATTAAGTCTGTGAATAAAAAACTTGTTGTCAAGCATAAAAACATAAATAAAATTGTATCATATTAATTCTACTAAAATGGGATAGAAACATTCTTATTTATTAGAAAGACCAATTTCAGCGCAATTATTTATAACTTATCCAAACTGTTTCAGGTATAACAATAATCTGAAGAGCGACAAAATGTTACAGTGTTCACATCTTTATATCCACAACAACAATAAGAATCATTTAACAGGTTGCTTTTCTTAATAACAAGACACAATGGTGTCCCAAAACAAATACACGAAATCACAGATACAATATGAACAAACTAAACGTGATAATCTCTAATACAATATTGTATTATTTAAACATTTTGGTCCACCATATTACTAAGATATCTAACAAGATCAATTTACATTAAGACACAGATATCTGTACTGTTTAACACTGAATCTGGTTATCTACATTCTAGATTCACAGTAATAATACAGTCTTATCACCAACATTGACCATTTCACAATTACTTTGATATATAACATATTACATATCTTATAGACAATTAAAGCTGAACTTAATGGTTCATATTATTATATTGCAATAAAAGTTGGTGAACCACACCACAAAAAGAAGGATTTTTATTTCATTGTTCATGCAACAAGTCCTTTGTTCAGTTGATTTACAAAAGGTTATTTTCCTTTTATTTACCTATTGATATGACATCTGTTCAGTAGAAAACAACAGACCATTTTCATTTCTTGAATGCAAGGCAAGTAAAAATTAGACATAAGACAACATAGTATGCAAAGATTATGAAGAAACTGAACAGTGTACCACCGTCTGGTCTTTATATATATGTGGTGACAGCAAAAATCACTGACACCAAAATACACAAGTAATGGAAACTTAAACAGTGCATTACCAGTGTCTTGGAAATAAACTTATTACAGTAAACTGTATCAAAAGAAATATTACAAACTCACTAAAGTTTTTATCTGTTTTCCTGGTTTGATCAAATAGATGTTAATCAAATAGCATTTCAAAATATTAATGAAACTTTGAAATTTCTGCAGCTATATTAAGAGATATTATAATCCACTTATCACCAGTAGCAGTGTAATATATACAAGTCTATCAGATTCATTTGTTGGTGTTGACAGTTGAAGACTTCCTATAGAGTGCCTGTATTTACCCTAATGATATAATCTCTAGTTTGTACCCTGGCTAATTAGAAATTAATTGATTGCTTAATGAGATTATCTTATTAATTAATCAATGATAAATGATCTCTAATTTTCAAAAGTAGGATAATAATAATCACAAGTCTGTGGCAGATGTTAAGTTTTGTCAGGCCTATTATAGGTCAATAAAGAAATCAGACTTTCATGGTTTCATAATAATCATTTTAAATTTGAAATTAAAAAAAGTTATGCAGTTAATCAATTAATTATAAATCCTATGCTCTACTCATTTTAGTAATTCTTTAGCCTAAGGTGCACACATTCTTTCATATTTGAGCAAAACACATTTCCTGTATCTTCCACATCACATCATAAATAAAAGCATCGAACTTATGATTATTGATACCAAATTTTCACAAAATTACATGATGAACTATGTAATTTCATGATGAACTATGTAATTTCACAATATATAAAACATCCTTTTAATCATTATGTACATTTATTCCTAGTTATCAAACTTTTGGAAATTCGACACCAGTTAACTCACACTTGAGAACAAACCAACTTGTTGGTATTTTCTTCTCGAACATACCTTGAATTGAGACGCAGGCATTGAACACTTTGACTGTCTGAGCATATTGATTGTAGCATGTTAACAAAGACAATAAAACAGTGTATTGGTTTAACCACACTTGTCAACATGGAATAAATCTAACTTAAATATCTTAATTTCCATTCACCTTGTCCCTTACTCCATTATTTATAGAAGGTAATGATTTTCACTCACTTTTAGTCATTTTCAAGGTATTCTGTATTTCACACTATTAATTGCTACTGAAGACGGGCAATACCATTCAGTGTGCAATGATTGTTAGGCCTAATTTGCATGGACTACGCTGAACACTGCTAAGGTTTCTTAAATGTGAGTCTGTAGGACACCAATTCTATTAATTTTATTATCAACTGAAATTTTTGCCTGACAGCCTCTCCAATCTGCATCACTGACAAGGAGGAGGTTAATAATTAAAAAAAAAAAAAACCCCAAAAACAGTAAAGTAATCTGCCTAGTCCATATTTATTTATACCGTAAATTTTTGAATCAATCTATTTTATCTGTTGAAACCAGCATGGTAATCTATTAGGCATATGTTTAATTTTTTCATAATTGACTTTTGAAAGTAATATATAATCAAATCTGTACACCTTACAAATGCCAATACTACCAGGTTTGTTTATTAAAATTATTATGGCAATAGTATTTCTAACTCTGATGGGAAAAGTAATATCAACTGAAGCTATGTTTATTTATAGTTATGAGTAATATATCAAATCAAAATTGCTCTGAAACAAGTTAAGCTCAGTTGTCTAATGACAATATCCCACAGTTTCAGTTAGTGAAATCATACAATTTAAATATAAATGTTATATAATGATACTACAAAAACATGTTCATTATAAAATATTTAAAACATCAGAGTTTAGCAGTGGAAATTAAAATTGTAAATCAAAAGCATACTCTTGTTTACATACCATATTTAAATGAGATATTATACCCTTATAAAATATGTTTCACCAATTATTTTACCATATGAAGTGCATATTTCAGATATGATATCTGTTACTGCACCAAGCTTACAAGACCATAAAGGTCAAAGTTGGTATATGAACCATATGTTCCCCAGTTCCTGCCATGCCAATAACAGTTCCTATAGACCTGGTGTAAACTATCAGCCAATAGACAAGATAAACGTTACATTCCAAGATCTTATCACTTTAAAATATCAAACTGTTTCTGCTCACTTTGGCTCACAGAATTTTATATATAAACCTAAATGTAAGAAATTATCCTGGCTTTGTATTTTGAATGTCAAATTAATTAAGATACTCAGCCAAATAAAAAATTCATTTCAAATATTGTCACATGTTAAATGGCCTAATAGGTATTCTAGACTTTTATGATAATATAATATATTTCCAATTTCTTTGGAAATATCAAATTCTGAATGATCGCAGAAAGTGTTTTTTTTTTTTTTTTTTTTACAAATCACACAAGATTTTCACTTGTTTACTGAAATCACGTTTTCAAGGATGCAGCTTTTTTTTTCACAGGAGTAATATGGAAATATATCATATTGACCTCTTTCCCAGTCATTTCATTTTTAAATGATTTGAACCTAGTCATACCTATCAGGATTGATAAATTGATAATGATAATTAATTAGTTAGGTTATCAGTAATATTTAGGTTACATAGTTTCATAACCTCTCCATGGTTTATATATTAAATTGATAGGTTTGAATTTATCAGCTACACTTTTGTCAAAGTAGTTATCCTCATCAGTGTGACATCAGTAGGATTATATGATACCATATGAAAAGCATTGTTCCCTGCCTTTCTAACGTTCGAATCTACATTGTTCCCTTGCCTTTCCTTGTTCAAATCTACATTGTTTCCTTGCCTTTCTAATGTTCGAATCTACATTGTTTCCTAGTCTTTCTAATGTTCAAATCTACATTGTTTCCTTGCCTTTCTAATGTTCGAATCTACATTGTTTCCTAGTCTTTCTAATGTTCAAATCTACATTGTTCCCTTGCCTTTCTAATGTTCGAATCTACATTGTTTCCTAGTCTTTCTAATGTTCAAATCTACATTGTTTCTTTGCCTTTCTAATGTTCAAATCTACGTTGTTTCCTAGCCTTTCTAATGCTCGAATCTACATTGTTCCCTGCCTTTCTAATGTTCGAATCTACATTGTTTCCTTGCCTTTCTAATGTTCGAATCTACATTGTTTCCTTGCCTTTCTAATGTTCGAATCTACATTGTTTCCTAGTTTTTCTAATGTTCAAATCTACATTGTTTCTTTGCCTTTCTAATGTTCAAATCTACATTGTTTCCTAGCCTTTCTAATGCTCGAATCTACACTGTTCCCTGCCTTTCTAATGTTCGAATCTACATTGTTTCCTTGTCTTTCCAATGTTCAAATCTACATTGTTTCCTTGCCTTTCTAATGTTCAAATCTACATTGTTTCCTTTCTAATGTTCAAATCTACATTGTTTCCTTTCTCATGTTCAAATCTACATTGTTTCCTTTCTCATGTTCAAATCTACATTGTTTCCTTGCCTTTCTAATGTTCGAATCTACATTGTTTCCTAGCCTTTCTAATGTTCAAATCTACATTGTTTCCTAGCCTTTCTAATGTTCAAATCTACATTGTTTCCTTGCCTTTCTAATGTTCAGATCTACATTGTTTCCTTGCCTTTCTAATGTTCAGATCTACATTGCTTCCTTGCTCTTCTAATGTTCAAATCTACATTGTTTCCTTTATAATGTTCAAATCTACATTGTTTCCTTTCTAATGTTCAAATCTACATTGTTTCCTTGCCTTTCTAATGTTCAAAACTACATTGTTTCCTAACCTTTCTAATTGTCGAATCTACATCATTTCCTGGCATATCTAATGCTCTAATATACTTTGTATTTTTCTGTTTGAACCTACAATTCTAATGTATTACTTTGGTGGATGCAAAACAAAGAGAAATCGACCAAATCAAAACCATCATTCATCTTTAGAAACACAACTAACAAAATTTACATGAAACAAATTCAATACCTAAACAAATTTGTAAATATCATTTTCTAATGATATTTCAGACAAGAAACTCTTGCTAAACTGTTCTGTTCAAATAAACAAGATTTCTAAAAACTGCATTAATACTATAAGTTATTCATAAACAAAAGCCTCTCTGTGATAATTTAGTGATATTTTATAAAA